GTTGGAGGGAGGGAATGATCAAACATAGGCTTCTGTAATCAGAGGCCTGGTGGTGATGGAGATGGTGATGGTGATGATAGGAGAACTTCTCATCATCTTAAGTTTGTGTGTGCCTAGAACCAAAAGCTCATTTTAAAAGAAAAAAGGCAAGCACTAAACCTTGTCGTTGTCTGTATTAAGGTAATATATGCTTGATTAAGGTGCTATCTGGATAAATATTTATCTGTGATTATAGTGTGAATATACACTTCCTCTCCTGTTACTCCTAGAACATTATAAATTATCCTGGTCACTGGTTGAATGACCTTGGCATTGCCCTGGTGATCTGCCATCAGTTCTAAAAACAAAGATTCATAGACTTCTCAGATCAATAGAAATCCGCCTAAGATCACACTCCAGTCCAAGGATTATTTCCCAACTCTTACTTCTGACCATCTTAGTGATTTTACTATGTTATCACATAATATGAAAATGGTTAGTGAATATGAGGAAATGACAAGTTATTTTTGATCAAATAAAGGACTAACTACTGGGGTTTTTAAAGGATTTTGTTTGGGTCTTCATTAGGTATGGGACCCCCCAGATATAGTTGGAATTGGGGTACATGGAAGAAGTTGGTTTAAGGTGGGAGGAGGACAAAGGATGGGGATTTTAAAAAAAAAGCTATGAATGTATTTTTAGGAGTTGAACCTGGTTTTGCAAGTAATGGATAAGAAATTGGCAGTTAGAAAACGAGAAGGAAAACAAATTGCTCTTTAAACGTGTGCATTCATTATGCCTCTGAACAGGAGCTGGGACCTGCTGCAGGGAGTGAAAAGCAAAGGGAGCTGAGTTTACATTAAAATAAAAACAAAGCTGATGCAAAAGTGAAATGAGCTAGAAGCATTGGCAAGAAGCTTTGAAAAGTTTCTTTGCCAAGTGCACCCTAAATGAGGGGTCACCAGGTCAAAGGTCAACCCCAAACTTAGAAAATTAGTTTGTTGCCTGACTTTAGGCAAGTACCTCCCCTTCTCAGACCTCAGTTTCCACATCTGTTAAATAAGGGTGCTGGATGAAATGACATTTGATATCTGATATCCCTTTCCAGCTTTAAGAGAATATCTTATGGGTGGTTAATATTTTTAGAAAGATCAAGTCCTCTACTTTTTTTTTAAACCAACTAAACCTGGCCTCTTCTCTCTGATTCAAGTTTTAAAATGTAACAGGATTATGGGTATGAGCTCTGCCAACCTCACATATAGATCACCTCCCATCCTGTTACTTGATTCATTATCATATTCATTCTCATCGTCCTGAGATTTAAGGTAATCCAGGGGTATGCTTAGATATTTTTTCATTCATTAAAATTACATCTTATTGTTCATTCATTAAATAGTTAACTAGCTCCCGCCTCTGTTTACTAGCTTATTACATATAGCTAATTTAATAACGTAGAGCCAAAAGCAGTTGCTCATATCTTTCTTTATATTAAGATCCCTATTCTAGAATTGAATTAATGTTAAGGTTACTGGTATTTAGTAAATGCATATTTCCTTCCACACTCCCTTTTTTTCCTACCTTTTTCCCTCTCTCCTTCCTTTCCTTCCTTTCTGAGGACATCAGAAATTATCCTGGTCACTGGTTGGATGATCTTGGCATTGCCCTGGTGATCTGCCATCAGTCCTAAAATCAGAGATCAATAAGCTTGTAGGATCAGTAAAAATATGTATAAGAGCATCCTCCAATCCAGAGATTATCCCCTAACTCCTACTTCTGACCATCTTAGTGATTTTACTATGTTATGATATTGTATGAAGGGACAGCTAGGTGAAACAGTGGACAGAGTGCTGAGGGCCTGGAGTTAGGAAGACTTATCTTCCTGAGTTCAAATCTGGCCTCAGACACTTACTTGCTACGTGACCCTGGGCAAGTCACTTAACCCTGTTTGCCTCAGTTCCTCATCTGTAAAATGAGCTGGAGAAGGAAATGACAAACCACTCCAGTATCGCTGCCAAGAAAACCCCAAGTGGAGTCACCAAGAGTCAGACACAACTGAAATGACTAAACAATAACAATAACAACAACAACAACAAACATATGAAAATGGTTGGTGGATATGAGGAAATGACACGCTCTTTCCTTCCTTCTTTTTTTCTTTCCTCTCTTTGTTTTTCCTTCCCTCCCTCTTCTTTATTATCCTCTACTGCTATCCTTATAATCAAATGGTATTGATTTAGCATGAATATGTGAAGAGTATAATACTGAGGTCCAAATAAAACAAAGTCACAGCTTAACAAAGAAGCCATAGACCAGGGGTGGGGAACCTGGGGTCTTGAGGCTACACGTGGGATTCTAGATCCTTAAGTGTGGGATTCAGTCAAAAGCCAGCACTTAAGGATCTAGAAGGCCATATGTGACCTCAAGGCCCCAGGTTCCCCACCTCTGTGGGCATAAACCATAATTACAGTAGGATACCTCTTTCAGTGCCAGATTTCATGAAGTGTAGGACTTTCCATTATGGATTTTGACAAGATAAGTGAGAGCACTGGACCTGGAATCAGGAAGACCTGAGTTTATACCTGGCCTCAGACACTCACTAGCTGTGTGACCCTGGGCAAGTGACTTCATTTCTCTGTGCCTCAGTCTCCTTATCTGTAAAATGGGAATAATAACAGCATCTACCTCATAGGGTTGTTGGGAGGATCGAAAGAAATAACACATGTTGTACTTTGCAAACCTTGAAACACTATATAAATGCTGGTGGATTTCATTATTATTATCATTTTATCCTTTTTCAGTGAAATGCAACCTGTAGAACTAACACAGATCTTCAAAGAATCATGTGAAGGTAAATTTTTATATACTTACTATGTAAGTATTTATCACCCCTGCTAGAGTTTTAGGCAACTATAATCTTGTTTATAAAGGTAATGTACATATTACATGCATATAATTATTTATAGTATAACAAAATTTTAAATCTGCAAGTATGCTCAGAGATCTCATAGTCAAACCCCATCATTTTTGATATAATAATAACTGATGTTTATAGAGCACTTTGGGGTTTGCAAAGCCCTTTACAGATGTAGCCTTATTTCATTCAATCCTAGCTTCACACACATTCTTGGATTCAAAGTGAGGTACTTGGATGATGAGTGTGCCTTGTTTGGCTTAGGTCCCCCTCTCACCTCAGCTAAAATTGTCCAAACTCAGTGTGTACCAGACTAAGAGAACAAATACGGAATATACATTTTAAAAGTACAACATTTAACTAGGACTAATAATGAGCAAAGCATTGCAAAATAATAGGAAAACACATTTTAACATACATTCCCTAAAGAGTGCAAACACATCCCTAATTCCCACCAGAGTAGCCTGGGAAAACAGCATCTATGAGATTCACAGCTTAGAAATGGGGAAAGTGCTCTCTGTCTCTCTCTCTCTGTGTCTCTCTCTGTCTCTCTTTCTCTCTGTCTGTCTGTCTGTCTCTCTCTCTCTGTTTTTCCTCTCTCTCACCCCAAACTGCCCTACAGTCTATTTTGGGGGCCCTGGAAGGCCCCAGCTAGAGCTTGCACCAAATAAGACTGCTCTTCCTTCTCACTGACCCTGATTTCCTCAGACCTTCCTTCCCCAACCTTCCTTCCATTCCCTCCTTTTCCCCTTCTGATCAGATCCTGACTCCTCCCAACCCATTCTTTAGGGCCATTCTTCCTTCCAGCTGGTGGTAGGTTGATCTACTTCAGAATACCCATCCTGTGGGGTAGACATTCCAATTCACCCAAGGGTAATATCCTGAGCTTTGTTATCTACCCTATAGCTGAACCCTCCTCAATGACATTTACTATCTGTGTGACCATAGGCAACTCACTTAACCTCCGTCAGCCTCAATTTCCCTACTTGTAAAATGGGGATAATCACAGCACCTGCCTTGAAAGATTATTGAGGATCACATATTAAGTATGTAAAGCACTTTGTAGATCTCAAAGGACTATGTAAATGTTAAATATTATTACATGTGTCACATTTACTTCTCCTTTACACTTTATTTACTCTGAGAATATAAACTCCTAGAGCCCAAGGTCTTTTTGTTTTTATTTAACTTAACACCATGTTTGGCACATAGTAAGATTTTAATGAATGTCTGTAGAAATGAATAGTCTTTCATTTTATTGAAGTTCAGACATAACCAATGATTGAGGAGAGACAGAAACTCCCTGTGTCTTAAGCTAGATTTGAACTCAAGTTTTCCTAATTTCAGATCCCATTTCGAAGGTCAGGAAAGTCCACTTCTCTAATCATATACATTCATATATATGGGGATGCTGTTGTATGAGCACATACGCACACACACAAGAATCACCTTACAGATCTCTGTATACATGAATGTGTATTTACTTCACACATATATATGCATACACATGTATGTATAGATATAGATTTTTTTTTTCCCAAAAGCATAGTTTTAAGTTATTAAAGTTTGAAACTTTAAACTGCTCTAAGACTTTTGGGCCACACAGTATATGTGACATATATAATAGAATAATAATATTTTCAATGAGGAGATTGGACTAGAAACAGAGGAATCAGGAAGGTGGCTGTGGAGGAGGTGACATGGGAGCTGCATGGACCTGAAGGAAGCTAGGGATTGTATAAGACAGAGGAGAAGAGAGAGGCTCCTTCATTTCACACATGGGGGACCCCTTATGCATAAGCCCCAGAAATGCGAGATGGACCGTAATGAATGGGGAAGAGGTAGTAGACCTTTTTGACGTGAGTGAAGAGTATGTAAAAGAAAGTTCTATGAAATAAATCAGGAGAGGTATTGTGGAGGGCTGTAAATTCCATGATGACGATTTTGTGTCCTCTCTTAGAGGTAATACATAGAAGATGCTGTACATGGGCTGTTGAGGTACCCAAATTTGCCTCAGAGCCATTATAAAAATTGCTATTTTAGTGACTAATATTGCTGCCAGTAAGTACTTACTGAGAACCAAAAAAAAAAAATATCAAACCCAAGGATGTCTAGTAACGAGGGGGAGATGTGGCGCTGCTCAGTCCAACGCAGAGGAGACACCCATGAAGCCAGCAGGCCACATGCAGGCCACAACACTCCTGAAACCAGTCGAAACCAGATCAAAATATAGTTCCTATCTGATTTTAATGTGTTTATATATTAAAAAAAGAGAAATACACAAATGTGTGGTTCTCTAAGTCAACAAGTCAGTAAGTCAGCCCACAAGGATCCTTATGTAAGGCCTACTGGCCTTCATTATTATTTGAGTTTGATGCTGGTAGTCTAAAGGGGAACAGTGAGTCAGCACTCTTCTGGGGACTCAAACAGCAGAAACCCAAACCAGATTAGAGCCAGTCCAGGGCAGATTATGAAGCTTGAGATGTTATATCTGCCAGAATGGGCTTTTCTGTTTTTTTCTTGGCTTTCGTTGTTTGAGAGGTGATGAGTCAGCTGGTGGTGGTGTACTAAGTGAGAGTATGACCCCGGCAAAGGTTGTTGTCCTCACCTACAATGAAGAGAAGCATAAGCATGCAAGAAACCAAGAAATGATTTTGTGTGAGAGCTGGTGAGTTAGAGAATCTCTCCTAACCAGGACTTTGGTGATCAAAGGGCTTCTTCTTATTAGGGGAGTTCAAGGCCATGAAAATCCCTGGTCAGCAACCAGTAGAAGAGATTGTTTCAAGATAACTTGAAGCTATTGGATAGGTAAGGTCAGAAAATTCATGATAAAGAGGATTTTTTTTTTTTTGAAAGGAGACTATAATTCTTTAAAATTCTTTGGCCTCTTTGAACCTGAGTATTTGTATCTCTTTTGCACACAGATGTGCTGGAGCCAGCTCATACCTGCCAAGGAGATTGTTAAAATTTCAGTGTGATCACTTATATCTTGGAGCAAATGCTACAAATTAGGGCTTGTTTTATTGGCTCATTGATTGTATAGACTTCATAAAATGTTAATAATGCAGATTAAAATTGAAAGTGTATCTTTCATACTTTTTTTTTTAAGGGCTGGTTGTTAAACATTTATGAGCACACCCCTGATTATATCTGACTCAGGGAGATGAAGGAAGGTTCTTTTTAGCAGAAATGTATAATAAGGGCATGGATTTTCATCTGATAGAAGGATAAAATAGATGATATTGTAAAAGTCCCTGTAATTCCATAGAACTGAAAATGTACCAGGTAGCATTCACAATAGCTAGTTGTGTAAAATGATCAACATGAGTGTTAAGAGCAAAGAAGGGACTGTGGACTAGCTGTTAAATAAGAAGGATGTTAAATGACTAGGGAGTAGGAGGAGGGTTAGGCAAAGCAGTTTTCAGGCTAAAAACAAAGTGGCAGTCTAGAGCGCGGAAAGAAAGAAACAGGACAGTGGGCGGCCAATTGTACTCCCTGGTGAATCTGTTCCAAAAGGACAAGATGGGTTGAGTGCATAATAGAATATATGAACCACAGTTTAGAAATCTCTGGGAATACAGAGATGTCTCGTGCCACCCTTGATGGAGCTGAAAATGACTGTGAGCAGAGTGCAGGCCCCATCTCATATTATCAAAGGACAGGGAACCACTTATCCCAGCTCCACCCTGAGTGCTGTCATGCTGGTGTGACAGGAAAAGGCAATGAAGCACAGATGAGTGACTACTTCAGTTAGGATAAGCACTCCACTTTGTTAAGTTCTATCTTCAAATCTGCTGGAGGCCACAGGTATTGCTGGAAACAAATCTTTCATATCAAACTTCACCCTGAGCTCCTTAAGGGGATTGGTACCTAACTAGCTGGTGATGGACCCAGCTCAAAATGAGGCCCAAGGATACATACACCAAGGAGGCCAAAGACAGAAACAAAGGTCTCATGTATACCAGAATATTTGGAGCAATGCTTTCTTTTTTTTTTTTTAAATGGAAGCAGAAAAGTGGAAACAAAGTGAATGCCTATGAATTGGGGAACAGATGAACAAATTATGATCTATGAATGTGAGCAGCTCGGGGTGCAGTAGGTAGAGCCCTGGGCCTGGAGTCAGGAAGACCTGAGTTCACATCTGGTCTGAGACACTTACTAATTATGTGACCTTGAGGAAGTCACTTAACCTCTGTTTGCCTCAGTTTCCTCATCTGTAAATTGGGGATAATAATAGCACCTACTTCCCAGGGTTGTTGTGAGGATCAAATGAGATAATAATTATAAAGTGCTTAGAACAGTACCTGGCACGTAGTAGGTGCTCTGTAAATGTTAGCTGTTAGTATTATGTATTAGTAGGCTCTTGTGCTATAAAAAATGGCTATGAACAATTCAGAGCAACATGGGAGAACAGTATAAAGTGATGCAGAGTAAAGTAAACAGACCCAGAATTATATAGATAGCAGGGCTTAGCATGGTATCTGGCACACAGTAGTTAGTGCCTAATAAGTGCTTGTTGGCTCCTTCACAAGAACTACAATCATATAAATGAAAATAACCCTAAAAGGCCACCAGGCTTATATTGTGTAACCCATAGCTCAGCATGCCAAGCACCAGGTGTACATGGATCTGGTGAAGTTTGGGGAGTAGTTCTAAGCTATGATCAGTCCTGGGGGTGCCCCCCTATAACTCCTTATTGTGACCCCACCCCAGAGCTGCCTCCACATAAACATTTGGAATGGAGATGTCTCTAAATTTGCACATCTCACGTTTCTTCTGAGCTATTGCAATTCTGCTTTGCTCATTGAGCCCGGCACCTTTGATGTGGGCACACCATGCTGGACAGTCCTGTGCCAGCATCTCCCATGTCTCAAAATTGATTTCAAAGTTCTGCAGAGAGACCTGAAGAGTGATCTTATGTAGCTTCTTCTGACCTCCATGTGAGCGCTTGCTTCTCCAAGAGAACTATATAGCAGTTAGGTTTTACCATATACCCTGAGGCCTTGGACTTCCTCCTTTAGGGAAATGTTCCTGAAGGTGCTAGACAGGCCACACCTTGTGCATTGAATCTGCAGAATCTGAATGATAATGGCGTAAGACAAAATTCTTCTTCTTTTTTTTTTTTTGCTTCCCATATTGTCACTTTAATTCCTTGCCACACTTTCACCCTTCCAGCCCTAAGGGCCACATTTAAGATCTTCTTCTTCCTAAGAGGCTGGTACTGCCAGGGAGCTCCCTTTCCCCTCTGCATGGGGCGTGTACCTAGAACTGGTAATCTGTGTACCTGTTGAATGTTCCTTGTTCCCTATTGCTCCCTCCAGAGTCTCTGTCTACCACCATGACTCAGTAACATCTCCTCTGAGATGGTGGAGATCTGACACTGAGATTCATTGGCTTAGGAGATTCAAAACATCTTGGGTCCCTTGTGGAACAAGGGAACAAGGAGCAGCCCCACACGGCATTCTGGTATTTCTAGGGCGGAGCTCCCCTGAACTGGTTGCATCCTGCTCCTGGCTACCGCATCCCTCCTTTGCCATTCAAGTGATGCTCTAGTTTAATTCTTTAGACACTGACTCTTAGCCATACAACATCATCGAAAAATTGTTGTTGTTAAGAATGGGCTTTTGTTTCAAGGAGAAACTTGGTATCTTTAAAAGCATTGTGTGGTTTCTCCAAGGCAGCCCACCTCATTTTTCGATTCAATTCTGGGTCCAACTCATTGTTTATTTACAGGTCAAGGCTCTTCTCCAACCAGGTGTCTACTATACCTGTATCAAGATTATATATCTCAAAAGACATAACAGTGGTTCCATGATCTTACTATTAATATCAAGACCCTGAATGGGTGATCCAGTGGTAGAATTCTCACCTGCCACATGGGAGGTCTGGGTTCTGCCCTGTACCTATGTGCTGGGGCAGCTGGGTGATACAATGGATAAAGTGCTGGACTTGGAGTCAGGAAGACTCATCTTCCGGAGTTCAAATCCGGCCTCAGACATTTACTAGCTGTGTGACCCTGGGCAAGTCACTTCACCCTGTTGGCCTCAGTTTCCTCATCTATAAAATGAGCTGGAGAAGGAAATGGCAAACCACTCAGTACCTCTTTCTGGAAAACCCCAGATAGGGCCACAGAGAGTCAGACATGACTGAAAAACGACTGAACAACAAGACAAAACAAGGACATGAATGCTCACTGAAGATATCATGACTGACAAAGAGGAGATCCAATATTGATTCTAAGTCAAAGATAAGGATTCCTAATAAATGGGAGGGAAGGGGGGAGAGGAATCTTCCAGATGTTCCTCTTTGTGGATGACATTGTGTTAAATACATAAACCTCTAGTGTGTTGCAGAACCTCCAAAATAAATTCTGTAATCCTTCAAGAGCCTGGCCTTGTACACGGTAGGCACTTAATAAATACTTATTGAATCAGATGTTTCTTCTATGCAGACCTCTCTTCTAGGCATGGAGAGAGATGAAAAGCTTAGATAAGACATAATCCCTGCCCTTGGGAAGTTTAGAATTGATTAAAATAGGGAAATTCTAGTTGTAGTCTGTTACTCTAGTGTATTAAGCTGACATTTATATTATGTTTTAAGGTCTGCAAAGAGCTTTAAGGTTTCATACAGAGCTGGCTTGAGAGTCAGGAAAGCCTGGGTTCCAATGCCGTGTCTGACACATGTGGGCTGTGTGACGAAGGATAAATCACTTACGGGATAAGGCATTGAAAAGTAGAGATCCACACATGAGAAAACCTATGTTACCAAAGCATCTGGCACCTCTGGAGTGTATGGCCCTAATGTACTGTGGCACAGTGAATTGAGAACTAGGCCTGGAGTCAAGAAGACCTGAGTTCAAATCTGCCCTCAAATACTTACTAGTTGTGTGACCCTGAGCAAATCACTTAACTTCTGTCTCCTTCAGTTTCCTTAAATGGGGATAATAGCCCCTTCTTTCTCCTAAGGATCGAATGAGATATTTGTAAAAGCACTCAGCACAGTGCCTAGCACACAGTAGGCCTTTTATAAATACTTCTTCCTTCCTTCACCCCTTTCCATGGTCTCTGCATGCGGCTTCTGTGGTGCCCCACTTTAGCTCCCTGGGCCCACTCTCTGCCAGGCATGCTGTGAGATACTATGTGAGTTGTTCCAGTGAAAGAAGCTGTTGCCGCTTAGAGGGGAGGTAAAATATTCTACTGTCTCCTCCTCCTCTTATTCTGGAACTGAGGTACACAGAACAAATTCATCTTAAGAGTTGAGATGTTCTTCCATAGTTGGCTTTCTTCTTAACCGGGGGTGGGGAACCTGTAGCCTTGAGGTCACTTGTGGCCCTCTGGGTCCTCAAATGTGATCTTTTGACTGAATCTAAACTTCACAGAACAAATCCTTTAGGATTTGTTCTGTGAAGTTTAGATTCAGTCAGAGGGCCACACTTGAGGACCCAGAGGGCCACGGTTCCCCACCCCTGTTCTTAACTAAGAGAGAAAATGACCTGCTCACCTCTTACTCATGTCTTAAGGTCATCAGGTGTGCATCTGACTCTTCAGCCGGCCAATGGCTAGCCACCCTGTTATTCTATCAGGTTGATTGAGAAACATATTCACATTT